GTCTATGAAAGTGTGCCTGCGTAGTGTAGCTGGTGATATCGTTGCACTCCTGTGTTTTCAATGCCCCTGAAGTCCCTAGCTGTCAGGCCGGGCAGGAATGTGATGTTGCGTAGGTATGGTGTGAGTGGTGATACTGGATGTGTTAGAGCATATTTGTGGGCTGTAGAATACCATATCCTAATTGAGTTCAGGATTGCTGGGCAGGTTGTGGGGGTCGTCGGTCTGTCAGGTTTGGGGACCCATATCCAAAATTGCGGGAGGTCCGTGCTCATAAGCAGTGTTTCTAGGTCAACCCACCTGGTTATCCGGCGGTGAGTGCCACTCTATTATTTGTGCTAATTGTGCTGATTAGTACTAAGCGTGAAGGTTGGGAAGTCCCAGTCCCCCTCTGCTTTTGGGTGTGTACAGGGTCTGTCTCGCAATCCTGTGCCTCCTCCCAGCCTAAATAAAGTCGTCTATGGCAGTTTGGATTGATTTGAGGTCTCCCTTGGTGACCCGTACCGGTAGTGCCTGGAAGAGGAACAGGAGGCGCAGTAGTAAGTTCATCTTATACTGTGTAGTATTCCAATCCATGATATTTGTTTGTCATGCCATTTAGCTAGGTCTTTCATCAGGATTGTCAACAAGCGTTTGTTATTTTCAGCGTATAGGTCGTTGTGGTTGGATTTGAGTGCGACACCCAAGTATTTAATGGCCGTCGGCTAAGGTTCAGGTTATAGGTTTGAGCCAGCCAATTTGTGTCTGTGTCGGATACTCCAAGGGGCATGCCCACTGATTTATCAATGTTTATCTTGTACCCCGAGATACGTTTATACACTTCTAATAGGTCGAGGAGGCTTGGTACGGAGTTTTTCGGGTCGGTGAGGGTTAGCAAGATGTCATCGGCGTAAGCCGAGACTTTAAATTCCTCCGTCGCTACTCTGACGCCTTTTATCTCTGGGTGTTCCCTTATGAGTTTTAGTAAGGCTTCAAGTGCCAAGATAAATAAAAGGGGGGATAAGGGGCATCCCTGTCGCGTTCCATTTTTGAGGGCAAAGGGGCATGGTGTTGTTCCAGGTATCAGTGTCTGCGCTCTGGGGTTTGTGTATAGGGCGTGAACTGCATTGACAAATGTTTCCGGTAGGTGCATTTTGCGTAGTAGCATGAGCAGGTAAGGCCATAGGACCCTCCATATGAGATCTGCAGCTCTCAGTGAGTTTTCATATAACTGTCTCGTGAGGACCAAGCCCACTTGGTCGGCGTGTATGTATTTGGTGAGAAGTGGATTCAGTCGTTGGCTAGCAGTTTAGCGTATGCTTTGAGGTCAAAATTTATGAGGGATATGGGCCGATAGTTGGCGATATGTGTGTTATCTCTGTCTGTTTTGGGGATAAGGGTTATGTCTGCTGTCGAGAGGTCTTGGTGTGGTGTTTCTCCCTCTGTCCATTGTTTGTACATTTTAGTTAGATGTGGTGTGAGTTCTTCTTTAAAGGTCTTATAATATGCTCGGTCAAATCCGTCAGGTCCCGGGGCCTTGTTCCCCTTGAGCCCTGCGATAGCTACTACTACTTTGTCCAGTTCTACGGGGGTGCTCCTAGAGGCTCTATTAGGCTTGTGGAGAGTCTCTGGAGTTGGGCCTTGTTTAGGAATGTCATGAGCTCTTCCATGTACTCATTGTTGGCTTCTGTCAGGGTAGGGGAGTGGTCGTATAGCTTGGCAAAGAATTGTGTGAAGTCGTCATTGACGTCTGTGGGGTTGGTAAGGATCGTTCCTTGTTTGTTTCTGATGGCTTTTAGTGAGGTCTTATTTGTTTTGGGTCATAAGGCTCTTGCTAGGAGAGTGTCCATTTTATTGGACCTCTCATAAAAGAGTCTTTTCGTGTGGCATATGTCATTGCTGACTTCGTCAACCATCAGTTCCCTGATCAGTCGTCTAATTTCATGTAGGTCTCTTGTTGTGGTTTGTGTGGCTGTTTGTTTGTGTTGCAGTTCTGTTTTGCGTAGTTGCTTTTGTAATTCCATTAGCCTTTCGTATTTTTTCTTTTTATGGTGTGTGGCCAGTTTTATGAGGAGGCCTCTGATCACAGGCTTATGGAACAATGAATAGGTGTCTCTTATTTGTGCTGTTAATTTATCCATGAGGTGGGCCTCCTTGATATTGCGGATGACCCTTTCCATTTGTGGCATGTCAGTTTGCAGCCAGGTTTGTGCCATGGATCTCCTAGCGGCCAGATTTATTTTGTTGAAAATTTCTGCTCTTTATTGGACAGTCATCTAATTTCATGTAGGTCTGGATTTTTGCTCTTTATTGGACAAGGTGTCAACAGGTATATTTATATTATGGGCCGCCCAGAGGGTTGTTGGGGATATGTCAGGGGTATCATTAGTTTCAAAGTAGTGTGCGATCTATTGCCTAATACTCTCCTGTATCTGTGGGTTCTTAAGGAGGGAGGCGTTCATCCGCCACTTCCAGGGTGTGTGGGTCCCGGCGGTTTTTAGAGTGATCTCTATGTCTGCATGACCTGACCAGGAGATTAAGTTTATCGCGGTGGTCTTGACCCATTGCATGCCCAGCCGATTCGTGAGGAAGAGGTCTATGCGGGAGTAGGTGGCATGGGGGGAAGTGCAGAATGTGTAGTCACGCTCACTTGGGTTTTGGATTTACCACGGATCCAACAGTCCTGTGTAAAGTATGAATTTGTGCAGAAGTTTGTCCTGTCCCCCTCTGTGTTGTGAGCGCGGGAGGTGTTGTCCTCCTCCCCAGTCTGACGCCGGGCAGGGTGTCGCGTTAAGGTCCCCTCCCAGTATCACGATTCCCCTCGGGAGGGTGTGTACCATTGTTTCGAGGTCTGTCCAGAACTCTGGTGTGGGGGAGTTTGGTGCATAGACATTCACAAGGTGGTAGGTGTTGGAGTGGAGTGTGCCCGACAGTACCACGTACCAGCTGTCCAAGTCAGTTTGTACGCTGGTGACCTGTATAAGGCATTTCTTATGTATGAGTATCTCTACTCCATTTGTTTTTTTATAAGGGGCCCGTGATGCGTATGCTCTTGTGTACATGTGGTCTGTTAGGCTTATTCGTGAGCTACGTGGTATGTGTCTCTTGCACGAATGTGATGTCGGCCTTATGGAGTCGTATTTCTCTCAAAAGTAGTCTGCATTTAGTGGGTATATTTAGCCCGTTCACGTTCAGTGAGGTTATTTTTAATTCCATGTCTCGTTGTGGAGTAGTGTGTGTCGGCTTATCCAACTTGAGACTGGTTGTCAGTCTACTCCGTCCTCGAGGCCTAGCCTGTGCCAGGATCCGGAAGTGTGGGTAGGGCGGGTGGGAGAAGCGGGAGGGGAAGGAGGGAGGTGGGCGTAGAGTGGGTAGAGTGGGGTAGAGATAGAAAAGTGAGAGGTTGTAGTGGGTATACAATCTAAGAAAAAGCAGATGTACAAGTTAAATATGCAAGGCAAAAAAAACGCTGTGAACAATCTAGGTTCACCGTATGCTCAATATAGTAAATCAATCAGTAAATTTATCCGGGTCTTACCAGTCGCCAGGAGATTTAGGGGGTGGGCGCCGCGGGTGTCTCCTCTAGCGGGGGGGAAGCTCAGTCGGTATGCACCCTGGTGAGGCTCAAGTATGAACAACCTGTGCTTTCTGGTCAATGGGGGGTGGGGGGTGTGTCCGCCTGTTTCGTTCCTACCTGATCTGACATTCTGCATTTCTATCTGTTATCCACAAGTCTGGTGGGGGGGGTTTTCATGTATGATTTTCATGTGTGATTGTACATTCTGTGGGGGGGGTGACGTCGGTTATGTTGGGGCAGGGTTGTCGTCAGTGTCTCGAGGTCTCTACCCCTGTAACTGTGTGTCGAATTTCAGTCTTTGTATGGTGTGTGCAATCAGGGGGGATGCCTGTGACATCCGTTCCCTTGTAGTTATCTACTCATTTAGTTTAGTGGTCTTGTGGGGGAGTCGTGCCCCGGGGTTGTACCTGTGTGGGCTGTCCCTGCTATTATATGTCTGCGTACACCCCTATGGTACCTGCTTGGCCGTGTGCCAGTGGAAGCGTGGCTTCTAGGGGGAACGTCACCATCGGGGCGGGCCCCTCCACGTCAGTATCTTAATGTTGCTCGCCCAAGTTTAAGCGGGTGTCCCAGGTCTCGTGACCCGAAATCCCTGCTCTTTTAGTAGTTGCAATATTAAGCTGATAAGGCAGTTAAGTGCATTGTACGTCCTAAATGTGGTATGCGTCATTTTCCCACATCCTTCCCCTTCCACACATAACATGCAGCTTAATGGGAATAATCACTTTTAAGTGTGTTTGTTTGGTGTTTTTTTTTGGGGGGGGGGGGAGGGCCTCACCCCTCTGTAGGCAACCTTTCAACTTCTATATCATAGTTACAGGCAGTAATGGTAATCTCTTTCCCGTATAAATACAGTATAATGTGATACAGGCGTGGTGTTTAGGCAGGTATGTGTGTGGTAAGATCCTATTTTCAGGTGCGGTTAGGCATTATTGCGTATGTGCAACCCCCCTTCATCCCAGGTTTTGGTGGTCAGTAGGCCTATGGTACCTCTGTTTCCCTCCCCTTGAGCCCCAGTGGTAACACAGTAAGCATTATATTAATAGTAACTCCAATAGGCAACAACGTAGAAGTAAACAAATAGAGTGTTAGTTAACGTGTGTAAGTTCGGGTTAGTAAAATATATTACTGTATGTCCACGTTTCAGGCCGGTCGGGAGTTGTGGTCCTCCCGGCTATCAGGTAAAGGTGGCAGTTCTGCTATGCCGTTCGCAGGCAATTGCAAGTCATCCGGAACCGTTATATCCAAGTCCTTCATAAAGTCTCGGATGCTTGTAGTGGGTAGCAATATTGCTCGTGTAGTGCCTTGGAAGACTATGATCTTGAAGGGGTAGCCCCATGCAAATCGAATCCCTTTCTGCCGCAGTAGATCCGTAACTGGTTTCCATGCCCGTCTGCGAAGGAGTGTTGCTTGAGCGATGTCCTGGTACAGTTGAATTTCAGCCCCTTCATGTTTGAATGGTCGCGTTCTGCTGTGCCTTAGGATGGCTTCCTTCGTTGTGAAGTAGTGCCATTTCATAATGACATCTTCGGCCTCTGGCAGCTCTATCAACCAGCCATAGGTGGTCTGGTATGTTTGGCAGGCTTTGGCAAAAGCATTGTATAAGCACAGATTCTATGTCTTCCTCCTTCACTGTTTCTGGGAGGCCTCTTATACGCAGATTGCTACGTCGCGATCTGTTAGAGATGTCCTCCAGTTCTATCTCCAAGTCAGTGATTTTTTGCTGGAGGGAATTGGTAAGTTTTGCGGTGTCATTTTGTGCTGTGACCATCCGTGCCACCCTGTGTTCTGTTTCCGTTGTGCGGGCCCCAATGGCGGCAATTTCGGCCTTCACCCCCACCGCTGTGCGCTTAATTTCTGACGCCAGGTATCCCTTCCCTTCTGCAAGCGACTGGAGGATGGAGCTGGAAGAAGCTTCAGGGGCTGTGCTTGCGGCTGCGTCCAGGGAGCCCATATCACTGAGACTTGTGTCGGCCACAGTGCCACGTGGCGACGGCCTCTGAGTCGTGAGCATTTCAGCCACTGATAGAGCGTCCATGGGGCCTTTTTTGGTGTGTTTGCGGCTGGACATCCATGGTAGGTTAAACCGGTCAGCCTGGGGAATGCTAGGGTCAGGTTTAGGTGCTTCTGTTGTAGGTTGTTGCAGTGCAATTTCGTGAGCCTCTGGTTCAGAGCTCTGACTTTAGGCGGCCATCACGGTCGGCAGTCAGACCACGCCCCCTATTTTGTTTTTTTTATTTAGAAGTGTATGTGAAAGCCACCAGAAAATTAGATTCATGAATTAAGTGAGTGAGATGATAAAACCAGACGTGTACTTGGAGGAATATATGAGAAAATGCTTAATGGGAGGAACCTGGAAAATGATTAGCAGTATATGATCTGTATAATTGGCATAACAAGACATGGTTTGGACAGGAAAAGAAAGGAGTATGTAATAGCCAAGGAAAATGATTTGGTTCGGATAGCGACCACAGAAATAATGTCTTATAAATGATTGAGTCTCCACAGGAAGTCTATAAAAAATGGATTCATGAAGACATTGTGCAGAATAAATGAGTCTGAGTTTGAAAGTAAAACTAGAAAAGATGCAAAATGATTTCAGCTATATATTTTATAGACACTTTGCTGGCACAGTAAATATATGCCATCCATTCAAGGCTCTAGTGGCTGCCATTGTTACATTTCTGCAGGACAGGTGTACTCGAAGAATGAAACAAAAAAGAACATTTTTCTAAATATTGAAATTTAAATTAAATAGAAAATAATCAAGATTGTACTTACTGTATTTTTTTAACAAATGTAAAACAGAACACAATCTTTCAAGATTACATTTGCCATATGTCCAGAAAAGAAGTCTCAAAGCATGTGAAACGAAGAATTTCAGGGATTTGTTAAATAACTGTTTTTTTCTAGGTCATTAGCACCATCTACTGCACTTTAGTGGTAATACAAGCAGCTTTAGCTGTGTGGTTTTTTTTTCCCCACATATTTACAGCAAATTCTGGTATATTTTCACTCATATTGAATAGTATAAGGAAAAAAAAACTTTAAAACTCTAGCTCAAAATATGCATACATATGGTTTTAATGCAGATAACTATTTATTGAAAAAAGTACACATTTACTAAAATTTGCACAAATATTTTATAAATTCTAGACTGTGCACAAATTACTTTCAGCTGGTACAAACATACCAAATTCCTTTTAATCTACTCCCAAAGGAATTAATCTATCTGGGTTTTACCTGTGGAGTCTTATTCAATGAAATAGACTTCACAGATAAATTCTGTACATATCTATTCATTCTGTTGTAGATAATAAATTAATTGTATTCATTCATACCAGCTGAAATGAATCTGTGAGCAAGGTGCGTGATAGAGATAGAGGACAAATCTTCAAGCAAAAGTTCCTCATAGAGATCTGTACAACAGTATTAATTAGAATTCATTTGTATGTGTCCATTAATCCCTTCACTAACAAGTTGTTTGCAAAAAAAAGAATCCAACCTCAGAATCCAAGTATTTTGGATGTCCTGGTAGTTATGTTTAAATGTATTTTTTTGTTTCAGTATAGATCCCCACATATATTGTTACATTACCATACCATATTGCCCCCACATTCCAGCCATGTTGCCTCTTTGTGTACACACAAATATACGCACCTACATTCATACGCATATTTATATAGACTTTGATACATACCTTCTGAAACACACACACACACATACAGTGATGCACAGAGACACAGAATGACTCACACACACTTTGATAGATACAGACACACAATCACAGTATGTTTCTGCTGTGTATTGTTACCTTTGTGCTCATGTCTGGCACGGGAGAGTGTGTCTGTGAGTGTAATTGTATGCATGAATGTGCCTGGAGTCTTTGTATCTATATGGACATGTAAATCTCTGTGTCTGGGAGCATATGTGAGTGGGTTAGCTGTCTGCAGTATGTTATGTGTATGGGGGGACTAGTCAAGTTTTTGATGTGTGCATTGTGTTTATCGCGAGACTATGTGAGTACGAGGATTACTGACTTTGGGGGGTGCATGTGTGAGGGTGACTGCGAAGAGAGTGTGACTAAGTGAATATGTCAGGAATATTAGGGCATCCTACACACAGAGTGTAAAGGAATAGTAACATTTTCCAGACCTTAGAATGGCCGGACTAACGTCACAAGGACAGAGAGTAATAATAAACGAGCCGAGGTCAGGGATGCCAGAAACCAGGAACAACGAGAATACAAGAGTCAAGGTCAAAAGAATACAGAAAGGAGAACAGACTGTGACAGTGTGGATGGTGGGGTTCAGTGTGACAGGGTGACTGTGTGTGGAGGGATGAGTGTGACAGGGTAAGGGAGAGGATGACTATGTGTGGGTGAGTTTGGTGTTAGTGTGACAAGGTGTGTGGGGTGACTTTGATGCAGACCCCTCTGAATGCCATCTTCCAGTCTCACCTAGAATGTCACTGAGCATGATAGGACTTCTTGCATATACGTTATTAGGGACATAAAAGTGCATAAATGTGCTGTTTGTCAAGACATTAAAGGAACACTATAGGGTCAGGAACACAAACATGTATTCCTGACCCAATAGTGTTAAAACCACCATCTAGCCTCAGATGCTCTTTTCCTCAGAATAGCAAGCTGTCTGCTGACATTATCAGAAGTGGTAGCCTGATCCAATCACAGTGCTTCCCCATAGGATTGGCTGGGACTGACAATGAGGCAGTTCAGGGGCAGAGCCAGCACAATTCAAAAACAGCCCTGGCCAATCAGAATCTCCTCATATAGATTAATTGAATCAATGCATCTCTATAAGGAAAGTTCAGTGTCTGCATGCAGAGGGAGGAGATACTGAATGTTTGGATACATTTTAGGCAGCCATGACCCAGGAAGGATCTCTAACAGATATCTGAGGAGAGGCCAGTGAAGTTGTCACTAGGCTGTAATGTAAACACAGCATTTACTCTGAAAAGACAGTGTTTACAGCAAAAAGCCTGAAGGTAATGATTCTACTCACCAGAACTAATTTAATAAGCTGTAGTTGTTCTGGTGACTATAGTGTCCTTTTAAAGAGTATGTATATTTCCTGCAAATCACAAGACAATTTAAAAACTCTTAGAGCATGTGAAAAGTGTTTTTTTGTTGTTGTTTTTTTTTTTTTTTTTTTTAGGAATTATTAAACCTCTTCAAACATTAGGGTATCTTATGCCTTTCTACAAAAATAGGGCTTAAAGGCCAGTAGGGAACTAGCAAATCCTACAATATATATGGAGCAAATCCTCCCTCTGCATGCAGACACTGAACTTTCCTCATAGATATTCATTGGTTTAATTCATCTCTATGAGGAGATGCTGATTGGCCAGGGCTGTGTTTGAATAATGCTGGCTCTGCCTCCTTGTCAGTCTCAGCCAATCCTATGTGGAAGCACTGTGATTGGATCAGGCTACCACTTCTGATTATGTCAGCAGACTGCTTGTTTTTTTTTAGTCAAACAGCAAGCAGAGTTACAGCTTCTGGCTTGAATACAGTAAGATTTTGCTATATTTATGAAGGCATAAGGGGCCCAGGGGGGCTAGATGGTGGTTTTAACACTGTTTGTGTTCCTGACCCTATAGTGATCCTTTAACATATTTGTTATTGTGCTCATCATCAAAGATAATTACTACAGAACACACATGAAACAGTTCTGAGGTCTAAAGTTTCATTTTTTTATTATGACTATTTAGTGTAGAAAATGAATTAACTTAATCTATTTTAAGATAGATTTATAAATTGTTTACTTCAATAGAGAAACACTTTTTCAATGTATCTATAGTAGGTTTTATGAAGCTATGTTTTGGAATTTACTGACCTATAAATCTTTTTTTCTTTCTCTACATAATGCTGTCATAAATGATGTTTTTAAGTTCTTCTGGGACTTATTATATATCCCAGCACAAGAAAATCTTCAGTTGTATACACAGTTGTCTTTCAAGAAAAGTCTGTTAGTAGAAGATTAATGCATAGAATCACATCTTCAACTGTAAAGGAACAATTCACACTCAATGGAGAATTGAAAAGGCTTTTTTATGATGTTAATATATATTTAGGAATCTTCTCCTATAATGAATTTCAAAAGGTAAATAACATGTACCACATTTAAATGATTTATGATAAAACATTAAAACTTTTAAAATAATTTTTGCAGAAATGTTGTTAAGGTTATAGTTTTTTATAAAAATGATTGCTAATAACTGTAAAAACTAAAACATATCTTCATTCTAACACCCAGGCCAAGTTTTCTCTGCAGCCTGATTCTCCTAAACTGGCGGCGTCACACCAGTTCACTGAATAGTGGTGTGTCAGGGAGAAGAGATGTCTTAGGAGAGAAAATGGGCAGCACGGAAGGCATACCAGCACTGGCTGTCTGGTGCCAGCATGCAGTATGTCTTGGCGTCAGGCGCCATCCTGTAACTCTAGTTCTGGCTGGATAATGATCCCCAATGATGCGCCTGGAGGTGAAATTAGACCTCATACTTCTCACCTTTATAATTAATTGTAAAAACTACATTTTGCTATAAGGTAACTCCCTAAGGATACAGCTTAAGGACACAAGCAATATTGCCATTTTTGTTATGTTTGCGTTTAACCGCAATTTCCTTTTTTCTCTCATTTATTACACCAATACATATCATTAACCTTTTTTTTTTAATTTTTTATTTTGCATTTTTGCAGTGCATACAAATATAACAAACAAGCTTGAGGTAACTCAATGGTAATCCTCAGGCACATTATCACACTTTACATTGGGGTATTCAAGAACACATGCACAGTTTTATATTTAGTAAAGGAGTTAATCAAGATAGGTATGCGGTATGTTGTATGCCGTCGTCTGAGTGTAGGAGAGAAATACAAGAGTAGGAAAACGGTTTAGCATAGCAGTTTAGCCACCGAGGCCCAACACACTCTGTGAAGATTGCATTTTAAGCAGAGACATAAAATTATAACACAGGCTGGTCCAACTTGTC